TGCCCTGCCTCTTGAAGGAGATCATTGTCTCCATAATCTGCTTACTGTTTCACTCAGCCTTTATTAGCCTCTAACTCATCTTTTACTTTTGGATTTGATTATAGGGGTTTATGAGACTGAATCATTTCTTCACTCTGTATGGAACTGGCTGGAGCTCTGCCTTCTATGTTTAGTCTCAGGCTCGTATATAAATTGTTTAACAAAAAAAATCAATCAATATGAGTAAACCCAAGTCTTGGCAATTAAAATATTGAAATATCCTCCTGAAATAAAGGTAATACTGTGATACTGATACTTTCGTAGACTGTCGCAGTTGCCCCATCAGATTACATTGCAGCTGTGTACCATTGATTCACACACCCACATTTATAAACATAAATGACAAAATAATTAATTAGTAAATCCACTCAAAATAAAAGCTAAATTAAAGAGATCAATTTTCCTCTTTTGGTAATGTCGAGGACATATAGTTCACCCAAAGATCCAACCTCATCACTCTCAACATCATGTTATGTGCAACATTGCTACTTAGAGAACCCAATCTTAATTTGCATGACATCAAGAGTAATGAATGCACACATACATTACTTTACATTAAATATAATTTAGCTGATACTTTTATAGCCTTTAGTTGGTTTTGTTCCAGCTGTTGGGGCAGGACAACTTCGATTTAATGAGCAAAACCATCACAGCCCTTCCTCAACCTGAGCAGAGTCTAATTAGCTGAAATAGGTGACACATGTAGATTTGTCTTTCACTGTCATCTCGCATTCAGGCTGCGTTTGAATAGCCTAGCCTTAATTGCTTGCTCGAGCGCTTTTGTGTTGTGTGTAGTCCAGTGCTGTGGGTGCGCTGTAGGTGTGTGAACACATCTTGGGTATCTTGCTTTTATCACTTCTGCTGAGGCCATGAAGAATGAATTACCATAGCAGCCTTTTAATCCCAGCGTATGAATGGTTTCATTCTGTATCGTATTTCCTGTTTTCTCCCATACATGTCTTCAATTTCCTCATGTTCCTCAACCTCGCTATTGAATGTTCCCTCTGGGGAATATCAAGCTGTTGTCTCCCCTCGCCTCCCCCATCTCTAAACCCTTCCTCCACCTGCTCCGTCCCCTGATGAGAATGGACAGCCATGTTCGATTGTGGACTGGCAGTGGTGGGGGAGACTACAGGGGGCGGCAGATACAGCATATGTATGTGTGTGTGTGTGTGTGTGTGTGTGTGTGTGTGTGTGTGTGTGTGTGGAGGGCTCCTGGTGGCGGGGGCCATGCTGGGATTGCCCTCTGCTGCAGCCGCTAAACATTCAGCTGCATTCCCATCAGCCCCTCTGTTATTGCCACGGACCAGTGAATCCACTGACTGACTCAACAGCTGTCCACAATATATAGATGTATGTGTGACTGTGTGTGTGTGAGACTGTATGAGTGTCTGTGAGTGTATGTGTGTGTTTAAAGTCAAGAACTGACGGTGGTGTGTGAGCACTTACATTTGAGAGTGAGTGTGTGTCTGTGTGAGTAGCTGGCAGGTCAGTGTTTGTGTTTTCATTTGAAGGTAAAATGAATGATGCATGTGTGTGTGTGTGTGTGTGTGGGGGGGGGGGTATTATGTGTCTGTAGGTGTGTGTGAGCTGAAATGAAATGACGGGGCAAGGTGGATTGGCATTTTGCTCGGTGTGTACTTATGTTTCTGTCACATTCCCCTGGTTGCCACCTCTAGATGTTTCTAATCTTCTGTGCACTTTAAAGATTTTGAATTCATGTTTTCAAAATCACAACACCAACAGGAACCGTACTGGACCTCCTCATTCAACTTTTGAACGTATCCAAGTTGAAGTTTTCACACAGAGGAACCCTCCTTTAAATCAACAGAGCAAAGAAGAAAATCCTCTTTTTTTCTTTTTTTTTGTTTGTCTTGAAGACTTCTCTGTTGCTTCACCCCTGCTGTGACTGTGGTTCAGCAGACAGTGAGATGAGAGAGCTCTAATTCAAATGTGGCACAGTCTGCTTAGCCTGAAACACAAATATGACGAGGTGACACTTCAAGAACTCACATCAGATTTTGTAAGCACTGATGCAACAGTGTAAAATGCCTTTAAAATAGTGAAAGATGCATTGGACCACGACCCAGACCAACGCATACAAATTTAGTCCAACCATTGGAGGCGTTTTCGTTCCTAATCAAACTGAACCATGGCTTTGGATCATTTGCAGCGTGAAATATTTTTTTGAAAAGTTTGGACTTTCAGACCTATTGCAAGTCAAGACAGCATGAAACAATAATACAAAATAAATGAATGCATAAATAAATACAGAAGTGGAATCGACTTGCATGATTGCCAGTCTTCCTCTGTTGAAGTTTGAATGTTGTTCATTAAGTTTCTGATGATGAAGGGAATCAATAACCAGCAAGTACACTAAAGGTCAGGAATAGGCCGGCAGGAATATAAGAACGGGCTCCTGGAATGCTGGGCAGAGAACACCAGACAGTCCGGCAGGGCATGAGAGGAGAAGGGCCAGTCTATACCAGGAGAAGATTAGAGGATTGGAAAAAGGTGCATGTGGGTGGGGAGGAGTCGGGTGGCTGCAAGGCGAGAAAGGCGGGTGATTGCAGGGCAGGGAGGAGTGGCAGGGTCTGAATGACAGGACAGTTGGTGATATTACAAGGGCAGGCGAATAATGAATGAAAGAATGAATAAACTGTGACAGTCGGGTCTCAAGAGCCCTGGAGTAGAGCGTCATCAGACACCGCCTCAGCCCACCCCCGTTATCTGCTGCTGATTAAATATAATTTTCTGAGTTTAAGCCTATGAGCTGTATTCGTCTGGAGACGTCTCTGAAGCCTCGGGGGCTGGTTGTGGAGACGAAGATTTTGCATAAACTGTTGAACATCACGGAAAACATCAGTTACAGGCTTGTTCAGTTCTGCTGTGACAAAGAATTCTCAGTCAGCAGACTGTGCAAAGATGCTTCAGTGTGTTCGGACAGAGGACTTTCTGTTTTTCCTTGTGAATGCTCACCTGAAATCGAGGAAGACATAGCTTTAGTCTATACATTTTGTTCCAATTTTTTTTATTCTCATACTTTATTTAGTCCATTCAGTTATCGTATGTAATTATAGCCCCTATAAGGAGTTTTTAATTGGTTATGAAATGGTCTTATTTTAATGTTGCTGCCTCTTTATGATCTGCAACAGTAAATGGGAACAATCAGGAAGAACATTGGCTTTTTCTACAAACTTTTCTCAATGTCTGTGTTCGGGTCGGGCAACCACTGCAACGGTATACAACAGACTTCTTATTCTTCTTGTCTAAGATCCTACTTATCCCAGAGACCACCGGCATTACCATCCCACCAGCAAAACAACACAGGCTGCACAGGGACAGGAAACAAAAGCGGGGAGGGAAGCGAACCAGGCTACGCTCTAGGCTAAAGGCTAACCCGTACACACCAGGGATCCAGAGTCTGTTCCTCGCCAACTCCAGGTCTCTTACAAACAAGATGGATGAGATCAGAATGAGAACTACGCCTCATTGTGTGACTCTGATCACAGAGGCCAGGCTGAACAACAACATCCAGGACGTGGCATTCGAAGTAGACATTTTTTTATTCCAAGGGAATTCACAATAATAACAAATACAGCAATGCATTCCCCCCACAAGCTACGGCTCAGGTACAATTTGAAAGCTGCATGACGTCATCCACAAGCAGCTGGACGGTGCGATCATCGTAGCAGGGGACTTCAATCACCGAGAAAATAACGATAACAATCATACAGTAAGAAAAAAACATATTACCTCATCGTTATGCAACCTGCGAACAACTGTGCATCTTTTATTCAGTCTTTCCACATGCACATTGAAAACAGTGGAAACACTTTTGTCCTTGTTGGAGAGTTAATTGTATTATTTGTCCCCTTCCTTGTTGTTTGGTTTGGTTCGGATTTACACTCTGGACAGTTTGACATTTCTTCTTCTTACGTAAGAATCTTTGCTTCAGCAAATTAAATCTGAGACACAATAATGCATAGCCTTTACATTAAAGTGCCCAGTCTCAGCTTTAATTCAAGTTGGTTGACATCAATGTATGATTCAAAATCAAATCATCCTAATTACGATGAAAGTTAGATGTGGTTTTTGAATGAAACGTGAAAAGGGAGAATGTAATTACTGCATTACAACAAGTGACAGAACCATTCACACACAATCATACACAGTTTCTATATGTTGCATCACAAATCATTCACACTCTGACAGAACAGCTCTCAGGGGCATTTTAAGGTTCAGTGTCTTGCCTAAGGACACTTCAGCATGCGGACTGGAGGAGCCGGGGATCAAACCACCAAACTTCTGGTGAATGAACACACTATTTGCTTACTGAGCCACAGTCACCTTCAGGTGAAATGTTCTTTCTGTGTCCTGTTGGTATCATTGAAGTGGTGCAATCACTTAAAATAATGCTTAATGCCATTATACAAGCTTTTTACAAGCTTCTCAATGTAAAATGTAAAACTGACAAGTTGCCACAGCTGGGAAATAAATGTAGTGAGGCAAATTATACTGCAGCATTCCAGAGAAGTACAAGAAACTCAAACTTTAACCTATGTATAGTTCATTATTATTATGTTGTGGTGCACGTTCACAGAACATTATCATTTATAAGTTTTAATGTTGGTTTTGCCGTTTGATGTCTTTGAGGGGTTTAGCACATACAAGATCCCCATTGCAGATCCTGATGAAATGAGAGCAATTTATTTTCGACGACAAGGAAGCACGGCCACCGCTACATAATCAACTACGAGGTGTTGCCTAGGTGCTCCAGTAACACAGCAACAGAACAGCTTTTATAAAGGTTCGCGACTTTATTATCCGTGAGGGAAAACTGACCAGCAGCAGAGAACAAAAACTACACAATACAATGCAGCAATAAAATGAAGAGATAAAAGACATAAAACACATGATGCATTGGATCAGATTGATATTCTCTGCATAAACACACTCACATACTGTTCCTCGGTCGGGCTGCTCTCCGGCCATCTTCGGATCTTTGTGACCCCCTCAGCCCCAGCACACTGCTGCTGATAAAGGGGAGAGAGTGATAAGCCAACACAGAACACCTGTTCACGATCAAACTCCCTCCCTGGCACCGTTCCCTGAACCACATCCCCAATCTCTCCCTCCTGCAGCAGACGCTGATCACACCCCGCTACCACAGTCTCATTCATCTCATAGGAAATCCTATCAATGTAACACAAATTTTTCCCATGATCCGTTGTTAGATCAGTTATCTAAATAAACTGGTGACAGAGTCATGGGGGACCCAGACAGTGGTGGGTAGAGTAAAGTATTACAGTAAAGTAAACAAGTAAAAGTATTGTTTATTGTTGTTAAAACATATTCAACTAATTAATGCAAGATATGAAGATGCAAAGCTTAAAAAAAATTCAAATCATATTCCAATAAATTAAACAAAACAAAAAACAATATAACCATATAATTAACACCTTCCATGGCAGTGGATTAGTCTAAAACTAAACTGCATGTGAAAGTACTTCATACTATTTTTACAAGTGGTTTAAGACTCATACATTACTTATGGAATAAAGGGTATACCATCAGAGTAGATAATATCATCTTTCAAGTTACAAGTGTGGGACTTGAAATGTGTGTAAATTCATAAGTGAGTGTTTTTTTGCATGAGATACTAGTAATAGTTGTTATACTTCATGTGAATACGCTCTTTAACACGAACAGTAAAGTTCTGAAAGTTTCAAATTCAGAGGCGAAACAAACGACGTGTGGCCCAACGTAAAGGAGTAGAAGTAATAATTTAAATGAGTAGGAGTGTCATGGGGTTACCTCATGCCCTGTAATATATAAGGTGGTAAACACTTAACATACACCATTGGCTGCAGCACATCAGTAGCATTAGCATGGCTATATGATTAGGCAGCATGGTAGCATGTTAAGCTAGCACTCACAAACCATTTCATCTTTCTAAACTGTACTGATACACAGAGTCCACAACCAACAGTCAGAAATAACCTCAACGACACACAGTTTTATTTCGCAAACATTTATTGTAATTTAATGTTTTGGGTGTATGTGTTTGTGATGTCATATCCACCCTCCCTCACCTTCATGCAGGGGCCTGGTCCCACTGGCAAACAGGAAGTGGGGGATTCCAACTCCATTTATAGAGAGGGGAATCTGGAGTGTACCACATGAAAGCCAGTCCAGAGGGGTGTTTTAAATGATATCACAGAAATGCTCTTTTAAATGCCCATCTAATATAATAGTGTGATATTTCTATGACAGGCTAGGTCGGGTGAAATGCTGATGTCATATCTGATAGAGATTTGTTAATTGATATTTGTCTCTCTAGTTTGTCTGGTAGGAGGGGCTTCCCATATAAAGCCAGAGGGTATATGTTCCTCAAGGGGGTGTTAAGCTTGGGGCCTGGAGGCCGTGTGTACGAGAGCCCACGAGTCAGTGGCCTAGTACTTCAGTTTGAAGAGTTTTTGTTTGTTTGTTTAGTATCTTTTCATTTCTTTTTTCCCTGCATGGGACTGGTAACTAAAATAAATTGAAGCAACAGGTGAAGATCTCGAATCATGTCTCCTTCGTCCACCATGGGGCTCAATATTACAAGGAGTAAAAACTATTTAGCAAAACAGCTACTCTCAGAAGTACAATTTATAGAAAAAACTACTCAAGTACATGTAACGGAGTAAATGTAATGCGTTTCTACCCACCTCCCGACCCAGACATTGATACACAAGGTGAGTGAAGGCTGAACCGTGTAGTCCCATCCCACTGAAGAGCTTCTGCTGCAACAACTACTACAAGCCGGATTTTTAAAAAGCTGTCAGAACAAACTGTGCATCAGAGCTGGCTCTGTATGAGGCTGTGTAACTGCAGACTGCCCATGCTGACATTTGTCCGCTGACGAAAGTGCTTATAATGAGCATAACAACCAAACCATGGAGGAAAGGGAGATGGAGGCCTGGTCAGATGAATCACGCTTTCTTTTACATCATGTGCACTTGCATCTTTCACCCAGGGAAGACATGGGACCAGATGCACAATGGGAAGAAGGCAAGCTGGTGAAGGCAGAGTGGTTTGATACACATCATGCTTGGCTATTGACAATGGCGTTGGCTAATTGCTTGCTGTGTTAGCTTGTATGCTACTGTTCAACTCAAGAGTTGAGTGCAGTGAAAGTTTACTCCCAGACCCCAAAAACCTTCCAAGGTCTCCGACTGTCGGTCTCTTCTCCCTCAGCTTGTCAACAAATGTACATGCACAGCTGCACAGCTTGCAGTACAATGTGCGTACGCTGCGTACAGTCAACAGCAAATCTTGCACTGTGTGACTTGAACATTGTTGCAGACGGTTTCATGTAGAAGATCTAGACTGTTGTGTCACAAACCTTCATGGGTGGTTTGAAGAACTTGACTGAAGGCTCCACAAATCTCAATCCAGTCAGGCCCCACCTGACTACTTACAGGATTTAAAGGATCTAAAGTAGGGGCCTCGTGGGGTCAATTACTCATGAGGGGGCCCTACATAATATTAGACCTGTTTTAATGTTGTGGATGATGGGTGTGTGCTGTTCTACGATCTAGCCTGACAGGTACAGTAACCAACGGGAAGGAGGCTTAACAAACATCAATTCTGGCTCTTTCTTTATCCTTTTCCATTACATTATTTATCTGTTTTGAATTACTCATTCCTCCTTCATCAGCACCAAACTATCACACTGTTCTCTCTTTCGTCCTGTCTTTGTATTTCTCTCCCTTTACCCCTCTTTCTCCCGCTGACAGCGATGTTGCTGATACGGAGGGCTGCTGAGTTCACTGCTATAACACTGTCGTTGTACAAGGCTGAAGGTAAAGCGAGCTCATACTCTAGCTGATAATCCATTTCACCTGAAGTAAAAGCATAACCTGGCTGCCGTGTTTTGTCAGGTTTTGACAGTGACGTAATGTGCTGGCCGTGGCCACAGAGAGATAACCCTGCCAAGACTGTAAAAATGTCTGGGAAGGACACATCTGTGCATCCTCTGCCAGAGGAGACTCCAAGTAGTTTCTTCTCTCTCCGACGCTCTTTGGAGAGCTTACAGCACAGTGACACCAACATTAATTTCCAGAAGATGAGTGGATTCTGCAGATTTGGGATCGAGACCAACTTCAAGAGTCCAAAAACATGTCAGAATGTACTGGAAGCCAAGCCTCACTGTGTAGAAGCAAGCTCAAGAAAAACGTATTTTCAATTTAAGGGATTCACTGCAAAGATATTAAGCTTGTTACATATATATGTGTGTGTGTGTGTGTGTGTGTGTGTGTGTGTGTGTGTGTGTGTGTGTGAGAGAGACACATTTTCTGCAAAGTGGTTTAGCTCTAACATATAAATATTCGTATCATATGGTCCTACTTCATATTTCTGCATCCTTGTGTCAGTGAAGGCCAACGTGTAGCCTGTGCACAGACCATCTGCCAGACTTCAGGATAAAAATAATACAAGGGAGGCATCAGGTATTGTATTTGACGCCCTTAATGAGGGCAACTCAACAGGTTTAAATGTGCTTTATGTAAGAACGTATTGTAACTCAAAATGAAGACCTTCTGACTGGATTTGCCAAAAAACAGCCATTATTGTTTGTAACGTCATCCAAGCCAATTAACATTGGAACATTTGAACATCACTAACCCACAATTATCAAACTATACTATTGCATCAGACTCTGGTCAAAGTATGATAACACATCCGTCACGTTGAGTCTCATGTACGTCACTGTCATGTTTTGGCTGAAGCCTAAGATGCTTGTTTGCATCATTAATAAAAAGGTTTATCAGAGCTAGTATTATTATTATTATTAAAACTATTGTAACATTGTGATGAGAAGTAATTTGTGTTAATACGACTGACTGAGCTACCACTGCATTGGTAGTAGTTGCAGTCAGTGCTTCAACTTCCCTGTGCAAGGTGTTATTAGAATAAGTATGAATAAAATGATTCATTTCCATAACACACTTACAGTCCAACCTATGGATGTGTGGCCTTGACATATCTGATGTTTACATGTCGGCAGCTGTTGGTTCACATATGGACCAGCTGTTTCTGTTAACCTTCAGTGCAGATATGAGATCGACAGTGTGCACTTATCAATCACCACAAGAGGTAACACGGTAAGTAAAACGGAATGATGATGGTTGGAAGGGACAGAAAGGCCCGAGGTCAGTGTCAACAATAAGAACACTCATGTCGTGTAGTTCAAGGTGCTCTGTCATACATTCTTGACATGTTTGCACAACAACTTCCCGAGGTAAACTTCAGCCAGATCCTCAGATCCTTCAAAATGATGTCCTAAAAAAGTTTGGTGTTTACAGGAAGACTTGATTGAAATATAACATAACTGGATAACTATTGTTTAACACCCAAAACAAAGACAGTGTTTCTCCAGTGAATCACTCAGTCTCGCATTAATGCGGCTCCTTCTGCAGAAAGTCTACAGCAGAACTATCCTCTGTCAGACATGTGCTGCCACACGTCTGCCCTGGATATTAATCTCCAAAAGAAAAAGCATAAATATTGATATTGCAAAGGTCCAGGTGACTTGGAAAGAAGTTGAGCTTCACCCAAGGAGCAACTCAAATTCAGAACAGTGCAGCAGTCAGACTCTCAGCAGACGTACCCAGGGCAGGAGATTTCCTCCTGCTGAAACTTTTATTTGTCTGTTAATGGAGTGAGAAAGGCCTTCGGTGGTATGAAAAGTCAACACATATCAACATCACAATTAGGCTGCGACTCACAACATCCTAATCAGTTGTTTTACATCACACAGGGACCGGGAGGGCAATGCCAACACAGTCGTCAGGGTAGAAAAGCAACAGAAATGAAAGTAGCGGTGATATATGATCAACAAATTGACCATGAGTGTGTTTGCTTGTTCTCTACACTTGTTATCATCGGGATAAGATGTATTTAAATTTTTCTTTTCTCAAAACAAAATCGGCTCTAACTTGGATTTTTAGAGAAGGGGAGAGAAAAACAGCTGGTGAGGATGTGTGAA